GCAATGTTTTAACGTTACATGCAAATCGAGTCGAATATCGATACGTTCAAGAGAACCATCCACGTTTCAGATCCATCTTCGACACAAGCTACGTAACGAGTACGTATTAATCATGATAATAATACGCGGACTTTCACACACTTTACGTTTAAGGCAATCGAATGGAGGGGGTATTTTTGTGCTGAAAATTTCGCAGAGCTCATGCATCGCGGCGCCGAGTCGCGATGAGACGTTACTGGCCCGCGGCTTATCCGTCTCTCCGCTCGATGAGCGCGGAGAGTCTCGCGCGAGAAGAGACGAAGGGAGCGAGAAGGAGTGAGAAAGAGTGAGAGAAGAGGCGAAGACGGGCGGAGGAGAGGGCTATTTGCATCGGAATGCAAGCCCCGGCTCTCCGCGTTACGCTCGCGAGAGCGCGCGCGCGCGCGCGCGCGCGTGAGCACGTACGCATGCACGCACGCATGCACGCACGCACGCATCGTACATATGACGCGCGAAACTCCCAAGGAAGGAAACCGCGAGTTTCCTCTAATGCCTCACAAGTGCCAAGCACGTGAAACTACTCTCATTGTCAGATATGAAATGGTATTGCGATTTCGCGTGCGGAAAATATAAAAGGAAAATATAATTTTTTCGTGGAAAAATTTACCGAATAAACGATGAAATTCGTTAATAGAGTAATATAATTTTATAGAAGATTGGAGCTGAAATTGAACAGAAAATATAACAATTGGATAACGACGGGTAATCTCAGCAATATAAGTTGATACTCTTCCTTTTTTTCTAAAGTTACAATAATCCTATATACAGGGTGTCTATCTAAAGCTTGTAAAAAAATTCCCTGATTTTTCAGGTAATTTGTTCAAAACTCCAGGCAAAACTAAAGAATTTTTAGATGAAACTTTTTAAAATAAGTTTTTTTTTGCATGCGTTTTTTAATGCTTTGACTCATACAAAGGAAAAATAAATCATTTAAATTTTAAATATTAAATTTTAAAATGCACTGGAAAGAACTGAATGACCTTTGTAAGAATTACAATAAAAAATGTGTACTCAGTATTATATATTCAGTATTTTTTGTTATGACAATGAACATATAATCAAAGAAAAAGATATATATTTATAATATATTTGAAACATATAATTCACACAATCATTGGCCGATCAGATTGCCGATGCTTGCAATATAAGAACAAAATGATCAAAGAGAGAATTTTTGAAAAAATTCTATGAGGATTCGCTGATTTTTCAAGGTAAAAATGAAATCCCTGAGAATTCCAGTTTTTCTAGGTTTTTCCAGGTTAGACACCCTATATATATAATACTGAAAGATACAATTTTCAACTACTCATAAAAATATTTTTCTAATCAAACAATCACATCGTTGAAAGAGCGTGTGTAATTCTTAAAAATGATAATAAAATTTAAAAGAAAAAGTGTAGATTTTATTTACAAGTTTGGAAAAAAGAATAGAGAAAAATATTGTACGCGGTCGACTATCAGATTTGTATATCTTTGATGGGAACGTTGCTCGGGATATTTCAAGAATTTTAAGAATGTGAGAACCCACACAATATCTCTTGGTAACGATCTAGGTTTGGATATCTTATTTCCCACGTATACAATCGCACGCGAGGGTTATACCGTGGTTAATTTGTGATATATACAAAAGGATGTATCCACATATCGAAGGTAAACGCATTACACACCTTTACTTCTAGCGCAAACATGTTTCTGCCAGTAAGTAAGAGTGTTTGCGCACGAAACTGCGAATTTTCTAGAGGCGCAATAATTGCTTAATCGTTGCAACAATACAAACGATAAATTATTAAGTATTTTATTGTCGATGATTTTCAAACTTAAAAAATATATTAAAAAATTATTGTTAAATCTATAAAGTATTGTTACATTATATGAATAAAAAAAAAAAAAATATTTATTCGGATAAAATTATTAATAATCCCCAAGATCTACAATTTTCTTTCTCGAGAGTAGACGCAAATTAATTCACAAAGTATTTTGCCGCATAGTCGCATAGCATTAGAATTAATCAATTTAAGAAAAAAAAAAAAAAATGATATTTTAAAATATTAAATAATATTAAATTCCCCTCCTCGTTTTATATCAATTTAAAATTTCTTAGAATAAAATCTCTTAAAATAGATTTTCTTTATTTTATAGGTATGGATATCATATTTCCTTGAAATATTATGCAGGGGTGTGTGTACAAGCTCTTGAAATAATTCGACAACGCAAAAAGAAAATGTAAAATATTTCTATGCAATCGGTTAAAATATATCTTCTCTTATATCGGGCGAATCTCACGTCGTACGTCGCGGTGAGAAAGCAGCTGTCGACGTCGACGAGAGACAAGAGAGGCTTTTGGACGCGAGAGAAATCTCTCTCTCTCTCTCTCTCTCTCGAAACTAGAATCGCGCGCGGTCCCAGCAACACAAGTAATCTCTCGAAAATCGACGATGACATCATGACCGTAGTATTTCGCCCGAAATAAATATACCGTACATCGACATTCCTCCCCGCCCGGGGCCCGCGCACCGCCGCCACCGCCATCGATAAATATTATTATCGTATCTTTCGTTTGCTCTCTGGATTAAAGCCGGTGCGCTCGTTCTCTCCTTCTCCCCCCTCTCCCTCTCACCTGGCGCACACATTCCACCAAAAATTCGCAACGCAACCGCGCCGCATGACGTAAGAGCATTCCGGCGCGGGTCCAGACTGGCGTCAACCGACTAAATACCAAAGTACCTCTTCTCTCGCGAACATTCGAATTAGCTACCTGCCGCGATCCTTGAATTATGTATTACCGAAGAAATTTCGCGTACGAGTGTCGCAATACGTCGTGAGTCGGATACATACACATGTGGAATTTTAAAATATTTTCTTTTTCTTTAGAAAGAAATGCACAAATTATTAAAAATGTGATGAATATAAAAAATGTGTTTTCTTTCTGCCACATAATTCATTATTTTCCGGAATTTTTTAAAATTTAATTTAATTTTTTCTTAATTTTAAATCGTGACAAATTGTGTAAAATGCAGGTCACGTGACTGTCCTAATTTTCAATATAACATAACGTTAACATTATTATAAGGGGACAAGTTAATCGTGTGTTAATCTACATTGCTGCGCTCGTAGTATACATAGGGTATGCCGAATGACCGGAAGTAACATGATTTCTCACGGACTGACTTCCTGCCGCCCTCGTCGACCCTCGTTGAAATTCTACCAGTCCCCCCCTTTCCTCCTTCCCTCCCACCCCTCTAGCTGTTTTAATCTCGGTAAAGTGAGGTTCATCGACACGAGGAGCGATTAACGGATCAATTCCGCTTTTACGAATGGTATTTTAAGCGAAAGATCGCTCGGCTCAAAGAGATGAATGTTTATGATCAGTTGTTTCTGTGAGCTTACCTCGAGTACGTCCTGTGCGGTCTGCAAATAGTCGCGGAGCATAGCCTCCTGTATTGCCCGCCATTCCTGCCTTGGATCTTCCAATTGCGTTGTCTCTGCGAACATTAATCAAATGAGACGATTAAAACAAGGAGACTTGTCGTCGCATTAATTATTGCCATAATGCTTGTGGCAGTCTTCCGAGCAAATTTTGCTCGCAAAACAGAATATTTCTTTCATTGATTCTATTAATGTGTAAACGCAAAAAAAAAAAAACTTTGAAATAAATGTAATATTTTCAAAGCTAATTATTATGTTCAATCGAATGTTTCATTCATTCTTAAAACAGATATTTAATACAATAGATTTTTATCTAATCATCGAAAAAAGATTTTTTTTCTACATGTAAACTTGGCTTTAGGAAATTTACATGCATCTATATATGAAAAAAAAATATTAACTGGTAAAAATATTTTGTACTATAAATTTTTTTAAATTTTT